CAGTAGATGAAAATGAAAGTTTTTCTTTCATTTGAGTAGTTTGAGTAGTAGTTCCTTTGAGTAGTTTGCTTAAGTGAAAGTATGAAAATATTAAGTGAAGGTGACATGTCACTAGAGGCTGTTTTTGTAATACATACCATTTTTATACTGAAGTTTTAAAAACATGGATTAATCTCTCCAATTGGACAGTAATTCTTATTTAACAGCTAGGAGACTCCAGCACAGAAATAAAAGGTTACTTGACATGGCTCAAATAATTAATCATTTAGGGAGATGCCTAATATTGGAGGCTCCAAATTCAGCAGGAAAGCTTAAACGTCTCTCACTTCAACAGAATAGTGACCCAAGGCTTCAGGAGGACTTACTGGACATTTACTTTTCCAAAAAGGTGTCCTCTACAGGGCATTAGTTTGCTCCACATCCCTGGACAGTACAATGAGATTTAGAGGGGTTAGCATTTTTAGTGTAAAAGCAGCAGAAACATCCAGTTTTTAGTATTATGTTAACAAAATTTTATAAATTATCCAAAGTAGTGGTGTATAACCGCCTGTACTGATTGTGTGAAGACACAATGAACTGGTTCTTAAATGTTCGGAAAAGACCATTGACAGCAAGGAGCAAATCAGGAAAGAATCATCTGCTATCTAATTTAAGTGTTTCTTCTACTCTCTGTATTGGGAAGCATAAAGCTGGAAGGTATCTAATGAGGGCATCAAGTCTGCATATACACTCTTACCCCATTTTCAAAGATCTCTACTTAGATCTCTAGTCTAGCTTGTTCTTATCTTAAATCTTTGCACCTTCAGTCCAGGACTAATTCCTTTTATCTTATCAATGAAGATGATGAATCACTTTGTTCCTTGTACATACTTGGAAGTCATTAAGTAACTAGATGTCGTCTTTCATTATCAAGATAACCACAATTATTTGTACCTTCCCTAAAACAGCTTATTTACTAATGTTCAGACCTTCTCTTACTAGTACAACCCTTATTTCTTTCAAAACATTCTACAGCAGTTTGGTACTTTACGTATGAGTTCCACAAATTTTAGAATTTAGAATGATTCATTTAAACACTAACAGTTTTAAGTAGCAATGCTGTGTTGCAAAACAATATTCTGTAAAGTGGAGTAAGTGATCTTAGATAACTTATATTCTAGTGGGAAAAAACAGACAATAAACTAGTAAAAATATAAGATGTTAAAATGAGGCAAATGCTGTGTGTAAGTGTGGTTGGGGAGGTGGGTGTGGAACGATAGGAGGGGTAAAGAGGGCTTCTGTGAAAAGACAGAAAGAACCTGATTTGAAATCTCTAGGAAGGCAGTAGCTCAGCAAAGATAAGAGAAAATGTTACAAGCCATTTTAGTTACAGTGGGTTTAACTTACTTTTCTATTTTGCTATCTATTTACATGTGTTCCTTCTGAATTAAAACCTCGCACTGCTCTCTACTGAAAATCTTCTTGTTCTTGTTTTGAAGACTAATTGAATATTAAAACCCTTTTCATACTTCTTAATCGGTGTACCCCATAAGTTTGAAAAACATTCTAATTTGAACAAGAATTTCACAATAGTATTAATACGTTTACAATGTGTTTCTCACAAATAACATCTAAAAATGGGTAAAAAATAACTTAAAATTTTTGTTGTTACTAGACAGGCTAAGATGAATTTTCTAAAAACTTGGGTGTTGATTCATAAGTAAAACAGGCTGAAAGGAAATTGGCAGTGTACACTTAGAAGGTGAGGCTGACGGATGGCAGATGGAGTGCACCACTGAAGGGTGGTCTCATTAGTGAAAGTGCCCAACAGAGAAAGCAGAGGATGACAGACAAGTCAGAGTGGCATGAAGAAACATCCACTGGCAAGGTTGGAGAAGTCTTAACTAATGCATCACACTAGCTCTGAGACATGCTGCCACCACCTGGCAATAGGCAATTTTAAAGTAGCGAAGATCTGAGTCATGATTACAGTTAATTAACAACTATAGAATCAAAAACATACTTTCATTTTATGAAGGCAGTATGTTTGTTTAGTGTCTTTGGACACTAAACAAAATAGGGATTTGATCAAGTGTGTTTGAATCTTGCTCTACTTGCTCTCTGGTTCTTTACCTGTAAAATGGGTATAAGAATACTATCCTGCTGGACTTTTCAGTCTCGGAATTAGTGAAAACAGATGTGAAGAATCCCGTTCAGCATTATACATAGTACTCAATAGACAGCTTTTTAAAAAGGACTACTCTTTAGTATGATCTTTTGAATATCATTATTTTTTAACCTCAAAAATGTGTGTATTAAGTATATTTGCACTGTTTTTCAATAGAAGGAAAATTTTATGAATAAAACTAAGGAAAGAAAACAATTCCATTAAAAAAAAAAAAAGTTGCTGGCCCTCCCTGGTAGCGCAGTGGGTTAAAGCACAGCACTAAAAAGGTAAAGCCACTTCAGCATGAGTTCAATCCCCATGGAGGGGTGGAGGTGGTGATCCACACGGCACCACTTCTGACCCGCTGCTCCCCTCAGCAGCGTACTTCATCAGTAGGCCTGTTCTGCTCCCCTACTCTGTCTCTGGTGAATCCTCTCACAGCCCCTCTACCTCTGGCCTGTACCCCAGTTCTGTATGTATAAATAAATAAATAATCTTAAAAAAATGTTATTGCAGGAAAAGAGGCACAAAATGTGGAGCATGTGAGAAAGCTCTCAAAACTTTAGTTGTCTAAATATAATTTGATTGTAAATATAATTTGGTTATAAATCAAGTTCTACTCATTCACAATCTTGGTATGATCTAGGACAAAAGATAATTTTTACCATCCTAAGGAGAAACAATTCTAAACAAATGATAAAGCCTCAGACTTACCTCCTTAACAGAAAAATTGGTAGAATTTTATAAGGCTTCATTTTCAAAAAATAATTGCAACAGAGTGTACTAGTACTGACTGTTCAGGTGGTGTTAAAATACTACACAAGAACTATTCCAATTCAAAGACCATATACTATTAAGATTGTCCTTAATAGTATATGGTTAAGCTGATGTGGTTAAAGTCACATGAATGATAGTATTTTACTTTTGAAAAATAAATACCTATTTTCTTTATAAATTGGTATTCTGAAAAACATGGAGAGAAAAAAAACAGATTAAAAATCTTTTTCAAATAAAAAATAAGACTTTGATTCTTCTATAAATCTTTACTCTCCTGCTGACACAATAATGGCAAATTCAGTCTAGCCAACAGTTTAAAGCTGCAAGAACACAAGAGATCGCCTCCATGCTTTCCAAAACAGGCTCAGAGTAACTGATCAGAATACACAGGCTAGGAGACACAGGTCTGTGAGTACCAACTCAACAAGCTATGACTTCTCACCAGTTCAGTGTCTGAACCAAGCTTGCCACCACTTTTCATTAAGGCAATAAAGGTTGCAGTAAGAGATCAGCTGAGACTACCCCTCTGCTCTTCCAGGGCTCACAGCTGGAGGTGGCAATAAAAATCAGACCAGCACTAGACTGGGAAGGCACGGTCTAAAGAAGTCAGTGACAAGCAGCTCGAGGGGTTCCACCCTCTAAGCCTTCTGCTAAGGCGTAAGCAGGACTCTTCTACTAAGAGTCCTAAGTGTCGAACAGGTGATGCAGCAGAGCAAACTCAGGGAGGTGACGAAAATAAAACACATTCATACTCTGGCCTCTGGAGAGTAGGATATTAAAATACTCTGACCTCCTTTTGGGGTTACTATATGGGCAAGTTAAAAAAAATAAACATACCAACACATAAAGTTACCTTCAGCAAGTTTTCAGTACACATAACCCAGTGGCTGAGCCTGCTTTTTCTGGCTATTCCAGGTACAAGCTAGGTCCAAGTAGCACAAGTTTTGAAACCATCATCCAAGTTTTCAAACAAGACTGAGTAAGAAAACAACTGCTGCTAATACAACATACAAACATTAACATATGCCTAACGAACAGTGTTTTAGATCATTAGATTATTTGCCAAAAGCCTGTTCCCTGGAAAATAATAGTTACTGTTGTTATACCTAAACCAGTTAAGCATGTCACAGCTTGCTCTCAAACAGAACATGCTATAGTCTTTCAAAAATAAAAACCTGCTTTATTTGGCATACAACCAACAGTCAAGAGGTCTTGCAACATTTGCGGAGGCAGTCAAACGGAGCAGTTCAGTGCAAGCAATCACAAAATCTGGTCACCAATCGAACCAGAGCAAATCTCTCAGTTCTTGCAAATTGGAAGACAGTATTAATTCAATCTTTCTGCTTGTTGATTTTTACATCTATGTGTGCGCTGAAAGAACAAGTACCTCTGTGGGAACTTTAAGCCCAAACAGTTACATTATTTGTCAAGTTCACTATGGACAAGCACAGATCATTCTTTTGTCAAATAAGTTAGGTTCTTAATGACAGACAACAACGAAAAGCCCTCTTCAAACAGTAAAGTTGCGTTTCATTGAATAACAAGGTTCAGACGATCGACCACGACCCGTCTCATCTGTGCTAGGATTTAAACTATTTTCCAGCCAGAAGATGGAGGGGGAGAGGAGGGACCGGTGTGAACCAAAAAGAACTCGCCAGAATGTGTCAAGAGTCGTCGGGTGACCCTCACCTTGACTTCAGGCAGTTTGCGGGGACAGACTTCTCTCTTGCAGCCTCTCTTTGATCTGACTTTCCAGGGGCCCCCGAGTCCGCCCACCTTCGGCTCTGGCAGCGGAAGGGACTGTTTCCCTGAGGGGAAGGGGAAGCCCTCAGCTGTGCTGGACCCGCTCCCGCTCGCCAGCCGCCCGAGCCCACCCGCGCCTCTAGGCCCGCCCCTACGTCCCGGCAGGCGGCGACGGGCTCCGGCTCCTTTCCATACACCACCCCAAGCCCCGCACGCCTCGCGCTACCTCACCTGCCGCTCCCCGGAAGCCCCGGCACCGCCCCGCCCCCGCAGCCCTCCCGCGCCCGCTCCTCCGAGGTCCCGGGACCAAGCCGCGGTGGCGCAGCCGGAAACTGGCCCCTGGACTTCCTCAGCCCGACTCCTGGGGGCCGGTTCGGGGGCGGGACTGGAAGCCGCGGCTTCCGCCTTCCTGCTTCCGGCCTGGAGGTGAGTTGCGGGTAGGGGTCCGAGACGCGGCGCGATGCGGGCGTCCGGTGGTCCCCGCTGTCCAGGTGCTGCGGTGCTCCGGCGGGGCGGCAGCGGCACGGGCGGCGGGCGTGGCGAGCCGGCCCGGGGCTCCGCTGGCGGCCGTTCTGCGAGCCTTGCCGGGCCCGGGCTCGCCAGGGCCGAGGGCTGGGGGTGAACGTGGCCCCGCGGGTGGCGGCCGGTGGAGTTAGGGGAGCAGAGTGAGCCTGGGAAAACCCGACGGAAAAGGGGTGTAAAGGGCCTCTGTCTGAGCTGCTGTGTGTCGCGGGTCTGGGCTGGAGATCTAGGCCGACTCTCGTTTCGGAAAGATTAATGACTCGTGAGGGCTGGGAGGTGCGCGCGTTAGGGTCTGAAGTTGTGCCCGGGAGGTGTGTGACCTGTGAGCCCTCTCTTTGCTTTGTGATAAGGGCTAAAACTCTGCCTTGAACCAGGTTCTTCTTTTTTCTCGTGTTGCCCTTTATTGCAAAGTTTCTTTGCTTCTCTCTGAATGTTGGCATTAGTTAGTTAATTCATTAGCGGACTGGAGACGCTGGATCTCACCGTCCAGTGCCCACCGTGGGTGTGGGGCGCGCGAGTCCGGTGAGCAGGCCATTTAAAATAACAGCCTGTTGTTGTTAGGTTCTTTAATGTGTCTTCAGTTGAAAATAACGAAGAAACTAGACATAGATAATTATAACTGGTGGGAATGGGGCTGATTTGTATTTGCCTCTTTTTCTATAAAGAACACGAATTGTACTAAAAAGGATTTAAAAAGAAACTTTTAAAGGGCAAGGCTAGGTATTTTCTTTTGTGGTCATGCACCTAGTGCTGTAAATTCTCGACATCTTTTGTAGTACTAAAATTTTCACGATCTGGGAATGGGTATGAGTATTGAAATAAACAACTTAGTAAAATGTTTGATCTCTAGTAATTAGAATTTAATCTAGGTCATTTGCATTTGTAGTAATTCTTTTTCCTCAAGCTCAGCAGAAATTAAAACTAAATGCTTATAATGTGCCAGTCATATATGACAGTGACATAAGCATGTCATTTATAGGTTACATATATAGAATTTAGGATTTTTTCATTTAAGATTGTTTTGTAATTACTCTGAAAATTGTGATTTAAACGTTTTTATTTATTCTTTTCAACCCACCCACTATACAGCATTTAAACCTTGTCTCAGAAGTGTATGTTAAAGAAGACAACCACCCAAGGATCATCCGAAATTGTGGCTTGCTAATAATCCCAGGACAAAGTTAGAGATAACTACTCAGGCGTAAGGTAGATGATTTTTAAAAACCCAATTACAATTTTAAGTGGCTGATTATAGACCCATGCCCTACTCAGGTATTCTAATTCTCCACTCGGAGAAGAGGGTAATACAAACATAAAAAGGTTGAAAAGCCTTCGGGCAATATAGAAAATGTCATTCAAACCCATCAAACCCACACCATCCTCATTTGCCATATGGTCCTTTGGTACTAGTTCAAATGGAATAAGATGCATGGCGCCTGTTATGATTACTTTTCTCATTTATTAAATTTATTCTCATTCATGAGATGGTATCCTCAAATAGGAGAGTTCTCAAGGCTAAAAGATGAAAGAGGATGTGAATTAGTATGCTACTTTTGCTTTTATCATGGAATAGAATCAGAGCATCCTCATCCTCTCCTTTCACATTTGAAAACAGTCATCCATTACCTACCTTTCCCTAAGTATTTCACCTTAGGCTTGTCCTTTTCAAACACCATGATGATTAGTACTTTTCTTAATTAGTACTTAATAATACCTGGGCTATGACAAATAGGATTTAACTATTTCCTGAAATGAGTGCATAAAATGCAATTCTTTTAAAAATCTTTTGCTTAAGGGTTGTCTTGAATATAGGATGCATATGAGGATGCATAGTTCTTATGACAGATTCCTCATATTTTTAATGTTAATCTTTGATGCCTTCACATCTTTTAATTGTTGCTCTGATTGTCCTACTCCAGTTTTTTCTTGACAGTAGATAGCCTTATTAAAACATAGTGCTAAATAACTTAAGAAAAAAAAACCTTATGAATGATGGAATTCTGAGTTAACTGATTGTATAATGTAACTTTTTCAAAATTTGATTAATCACATAATGTTTTCTGTTGTCTCTCCACTTCCTATTTCTCCTACTCTCTTTCCTTCCTCACAAGTGCCCCCATTTATAAGACTGCTAAAAAGATGTTTGACATCAAGGCATGGGCTGAGTACGTTGTGGAATGGGCTGCAAAGGACCCATATGGCTTCCTTACAACAGTTATTTTGGCCCTTACTCCATTGTTTTTAGCAAGTGCTGTATTGTCCTGGAAATTGGCCAAGATGATTGAGACCAGGGAAAAGGAGCAGAAGAAGAAACAAAAACGTCAAGAAAATATTGCAAAAGCTAAGCGACTAAAAAAGGATTGAAGGAATGAACAAGCTTTGCAAACAGGAACATCGTTTGGAAAATTATGCAGTTTTAGAAGGACCCACTAACATTTCTCCTTTGGATTTTATGACAGTATTATTTAGTAATGAGTTCTGAACATATGGAAGAATCATGTTAGTTCTGACTTCACTCTAACAACTTTTAGGCTTTGGTGTAAAAGTCTGTTGACAGTTACTGTAAATTGGCATTTATTGTGCTACAAATTCCTTGTAACTGGCTTAATCATTTGCCATCATACAGCTCATGTACTGAAATGAAAATATCCTGTGGAGTAAAGTGACTTTAAATTCTGGTCTCAAATAATGACTTAAAATGGGGTCCTGTTCTAGACATAGGGTAGTAAGAATGTAAAATTCACAATTTTAGTCAGAGCTTAAAAGTGTTCTTTAGCTTAAAAGAGATACAGTATATTATATCTTTATCATTGCTTATTTCATAGCATAAAATCATTTGTAGCTTACCCAATGCAAATAATATTAATCCTTGAGTCTTCTATTTTCTGCATTTCTCTGAGAGGCTAGTAATGATCAGGCATTAAGCATTTTTTAAAGATCTAATTTTATAAAGAATTCTTTTATTATCTGGACTATAGACCATCACTTACTGGATATAATAATTTTTGTACTTATCAGCACTGCCATTTTCTTCGAGATGACTTGTTGAGTAGAGTGACACTATAATTTAAAAATGCCAAACCTTGTAGTACCTTCTTGGAACCAGTTTATTCTTACCGTGCTAGAAATAGTTAAAATATTTTATCAGATAATTTGCTGATTGTATATATCTGGTTTTGTTTTTTATTCTTTAACTCCTGTGGTAGTGATGCCCTGTACTTTTTGATCAAACAAGTTCAGGGTAGAAAATTTCAAGTTCTTTCAAGGAATGTTTAAAGAGTAACAGTTAAGTCTTAATAAGTGGTAAAGAAAGGTTTAAGATTTGGTAAGATTTTGTTGATAGTAGTGGTTATTGGGTGAAAATAGTAAATTAAAATGAGAATGTTATGATTAGAAATAAAGGATATTTCCTTCAACTAAGTATAACTGGAAATCTTTATTATTAAACAAGGATTTTTTAAATGCATGGTTCAGTAATCATCATTGTTCTTATTTAATAGCTTACTAATGTCTTCACTTCTGACAATGAATTTTAAATTACAAAAAATTGTTTAACACCTTTAATTTAAGAAACTAGATATTGAAATAAATTTGATACTTTTTTAATAAAAAGGTACTTGTTTTTTTATGTAGTCATTCACTAATTCAAATTATATATGTACGGAAGTCAGACTTCAAAGAGTTACGAATTTCATTTATAGTTAAGCATGCTTACAAAAGTTGCATGCAGGTTTAAAATATGAGAACACAAGGACTCCTGAAAATGTCAATGGTTTGTCTGAAACACTTGCTGTTAGTTTAGGTTTTCAGTTCCTACTTAGTACCAACTCCAGGTACTAAAGTAGTTCAATCTTTAGTTATGAGTTATTTTGGATATGACCTAGGATATGGCTTTTATATTTTTGAACTGAAACAAAACTTAAAGATGCTTATGTAGAACTACTGACCAAATGGAGCTGTAGAACCCAGTTTAAGAAAAACTTAAAAACTAAAATGTGTTTAGGTTTCTGTGATCAAGCTATACATGGAAATAATTTATATATACGTGTCTTGCTTATGGGCACATTTTAGAGTGAAAATAAGCAACAGATATATTCATAATTCTTAGTTATCTACTAAAGCTATGGTTTCTTTGGTTCTGTTGTGACAATTGAAAAATAATCATTAAACTCAAAATCTGTTTTGCTATAATTTGGTAAAATCTTAACACATGCCAATTTTGTGTGTGTGTGTGTGTGACATATGCCATTTGTTACTTCAGCTTTTCCCAACATTTGTGAAACATCTTATACAGGAGAACATTTTATGCATAGGAGATCAATAAGGCTTTGTAATACTTGTGTCTATGAGAGTGCGTGTTGGAAAGAGGAGTGTGAAGTAGAGATGATTATGAAGTTTGGGATTTTTCAGAAAAAAAAATATTCTCATTGTACTGTTGAAAGAATTCCATTTATTATCCAGAATGCCACTTTAAAAATTTGTTTATTGAACTCTCTTGTTTCTGAGTTTTGAGAACTACTGTAGTTAACTTTTTTTTAAAAAAAGATTTATTTTTGCATACAGAACTGGGGCACAAGCCAGAGGTGTGGGGGTGGTGAGAGGGTTCACGGAGACAGAGTAGGGAGAATAGGCAGGTCCACGAAGTACACTGCTGAGGGGAGCAGTGGGCTGTCAGGAGAGGTCTGCCACGCCATGTGGTCACCTCTGGGACCAGGGATCGAACTCATCCTGAAGTGGCTTTAGCTTTTTAGTGCTGTGCTTTAACTTGCTGTGCCAGCAGGGAGGGCCCTCTAGTTACTTTTCATGGCTCATTTTTGGGCAAAAACAAAACAGACTGCCTGTGACAAACATTTTACCAAAAAAAAAAAAAAAAAAAAGCTCGTATATCAGGATTTGATTCATAGCGTCCACATGATAAATTGCACCATGATATTACAGCACAGAAGTACAGGGATATTTTTTACTTTTATTATTTGAAATTACAGTAAGCAAACTGGAAATAAGCTTAGGAACTTCAACACCAATGTGGAGGTAAATTATAATTAACAGCATCTCACTCTCCTTATGCATAAAGTGGCAAGGGGCACTATGTCACCTCTGGTTTTAAGCTTGAGAAAATTTGATCCCCTTTTAGGAATGATTGCTTTTATGTCTACAGTAGGTTATGGGGTCACTGATTTATTCAATCATTAAAAAAGGACCCCAGGTACCAAAAGTTTGGTCCAGGTACCAAAAGTTTGGGGGAGCACAGGTAAAATTAATTCCTGCATAATTTCTTAGAGAGTCTTTTAACATCACTATCATAAATGTTCCTCACCTCTGCTTTTTTTCTCATAGTTTTAGAAAACCTGGTAGAAACAGAGTTAGGTTACATTTTAAATAGTGTTAATGAGATAGCATTACAAAATCAATATAATAGTATTGATGCAAGGCTAATTAAACAAGAATTCTGTTAGTAAAAGAATGGAAAAGGATGGCAGTGAGAAAGGATTTCCTCCATTTTCATTGATTTTTTTTTTAACCTCAAATATCCAAGGCATAGCTAATGCTAGGTTTATATAATTAAATCTAACAGCCAACACTTAACACTTAAAGCAGTTTGTATAACAGAATAAGCCCATTATTAAAAATGAAAAATATACTATATGTATGTATAGCAGAAACAGGAAGTATTTATCTCTGTACTTGGGATAATATGACACTTTCTAAAAACATTTTTACTTTTGAAATTAAATACTGTGTAGATTTGAAGTCTGGTAAAGAGATGAAAAAAAGGCATTTTTATACATGGAAATGCCTAAACTACAAAATATGTTGGATAAAATAACACATTAATTCTGCTTTGAGTGTGTGTCACCTAAAAGCTACAAGGATTGTTTGGAAAGGCAGTCTTAATTAGGCCAAGATTATAGTTTAATTTTTATATAAAACAATTAACTTTTGTTTTAACACCACCTTAACAGCACTACCAGGCACCCTAAAAATGTTAGTCTTGAGGAAAGGCGTGTGAATGGGTTACTACAAACGTCATTCCCACCTCTCAAAATCACCTTGAAAAGTGCATGCTCTACAAATGGAGGCCAGTATCATTCTGTTAACAGGAATTCTTTCACAAGGACTTGACTAAGATTTCCTTTTGCTGCTTATGTAAGATAGGAGCTTTAAAAAGCCATTAAAATTGGGCCCTCCCCACGGGATTTTGTTGATGGCACGTGGGAGACATGGTAATGGGAAACCCGCGGAGATTACAATTGAGATGGAAAAAAAACATGCACAAAATTTTGTAAAAATAAACTGTAAAAAAAATAAAATAAAATAATTGGGCCCTCTCTGATGGTGCAGCGGGTTAAAGCACTGCACTAAGAAGCTTAAGCCACTTCTGCATGAGTTTGATCCCCGCCTGTCCAGGAGGAGTTCCACATGGCGCGGCAGACCTCTCCTGGCCCGCCCGCTACTCCCCTCAGCAGTGTACTTCGATCTGCCTGTTCTGCTCCCAGCTCTGTCCCTGGTGAATCCTCTCACCCTCCACATCTCTGGCCTGTATCCCAGTTCTGGATGAATAAATAAATAAATCTAAAAAAAAAAAGCCATTAAAATTAGTGTAAATTCTGTTAAAATATAAACAGTCCGTATGGCAAGTATTTGCAATATATATATACAGAATGCAATTAATAAGCTAATAGAAATTTGGGATAGAAATATTTTAGCATGCTTGAATAAATTTTCCTGTTACCCAGGCTTCAAGAACATCTTAATTTACAATCTATATTACAAATTTGACCTCTGTGTATTGTGTAGTGCCTAGTTCCTTTGTGTTTCTGTGGTAAAATATAAAATTAGTTTGAAATGGTGTAGAGACAGTGGTTAACCAGATATTAACAAGGGTACTAGAATATTAGTATTATCATCTAGGGACTTTTTTTGTAAGTTACAGTGATTATATTTGGTTAATTTGTTTTAGTGAAAAATATTTGAGGTATTTTTCTATAGCTTATTTTTTAAACAAAATTTTTACCCTTTGTTTAGTATCTTACGTAATTTTAGGAATTCATTGTTAAAACTTAGGCAAGATTTCCTTAGAGCATAAAAATTTGGGTCATTTAGTCAGTAAATATTTAGTACCTATTGTACTTCCAAATACTTGATAGTAAATTAACGTTAGAACTAAGCAACAAAATCTTGGTTATGCATCTCAGAAATAAGCCTTAGAAATATTTTTGTACTTAATTAGTGCTTTAACATGAATATTGTCATCTCTACATTTTTCTTCAGCATACAAGCACCTAGAGTTCCCATTATCAGTGGAATTGCTTTCTGAAAACCTATTTTCCATTTTCTCAGAGTAATTTTACTCTCATGGAACTCCAGTTATTGTACCATTTCTGTTTACTTTTTGTTATGGATTGTCTACTACTGTTGTTCTTAGACATCTATTAAAAGTATAACCTCAATTCCACTGTAAACTAGTTTTTGTCCCATCTATTCATCAAGGTCTCTGTGGTTTCTAGACAATTTCATTTATCAACTAAGTTTTATTGGCCTCTACTGCTTTATGCGAGTTCACATTTTTGATTAATCCTTTAGAATCTTACAGAATGCCTCTCTAGTCTTCTCATTCTTTCTGCTTATTATTTGATCAGTTGGGAGAGCTAACTTTATGCTTATATTTTCTACCAAAATAGACCTTGAATGATTCCTGAATGATAAAAAAAAGTATAAAGATACAAAAGTATGCCCTGAGCATTTACAGCTACATATGCTATAGCACATAAGGTTTCTGTAGTTTAAAACCGTGCTCTCAACGTACACTAACAATTTAAGGTTAAAGAAAATATTGGGCAGTCAAAAAATATCAACTATCTTTTTATTTGTTAAAACAGTCATAAACACATGAAGTAATTTTACCACAGTGCATTTACTCATTATGATTTGTCTCCTTGTGGCATCCAGGATCCTGGTTGGAAGGTTTTACCAGTGCTGGTGGGAGCCACCGAGGGTTCTTCCTTCCCAAAGTATGGAGCAGAGGCATGTCCTTTAATCTGAGTTTCAACTGGTGGAACTAGGAGTTTCTCATTGTTCTTTTCAATAAGGAGTTCTTTTTCATAAAAATCGTGGCTTTTAATTTTAATTTCTTCTCTATATTTTTCATTCTTTAGTATTTCCTGCACACATACATAAAGAAATTATTAAAGTTATAGATATAAAAAAAGCCAAAGTACAGGTTTTATGAAATAAAATAGTGAATATGAACATGATACAGGGGGCCTTCATGGTGGAGCAGGGGTTAAAGTCTCAGCACTATGTAAAAAAGCTATCACCAATCATTTCAGTTTGAGTTTGATCCCTGGCCAGTGAGCTGACCTACATGGTGCAGCAGACCTCTGCGGTCTTAAGCACTGCTCCCCTAATCAGTGTATTTCAGTCAGCCCACCTGTTCTGCACTCTACTGTATCTCTGGTGAATCCTTTTATCCCAAGCCCACACCTGTGGCCTATACCCCAGCTCTTATATGCATTAATAAACAAAAATAAATCTTTAAAACAAACCATACTTATATTGTATTATATCCTTTACATGCGCACACACACATTCACACAAAAAGGATATATTTGAAAAACTATATGCCAGTGTTACTAGAATTAAACAGATATTTTTGTTGTACTATAATAAGATATGAAGGACCATGAAAAAGATATGCATCTTAAAAACATGTATCCCTTTATCTCAATATTTTGAATTTTGATGTTATTTTTGCTTATCTGTTTTCTGATTTTTCTTTGACAAATATATCATTTATAATGTGAAAAAATGTTCAGTGGTATTGTTGGCCTTACTTGACGCTGACAAAAAACAAGTTACCTGAAGTCTTTAAAAATTTCAATCGTTAAAACAATGACCTAAAAACAACATCTAGGAATCTGAACATATAACATATCTTTCTATTTCTAAAGTGACTTTCAATAATAATCCTTTTAAAAGGTAAGTACTGGTAACATTAATAATCATACTTAAGATAATCATTTATACATAGCTAACAGCTTCCAGGAAAATTAAACAAAACATAAAAAGTCATTTGGAGTTACAGTGTTAGACACTTAGTGCAAACATGCAAGGGAAAGGATACTTATAAGTACTCTTGCAGCTTCTGCAACAAGTTAGTTTATTTTAATACTGTAGTAACTATTAACAAATTTAGGGGCAGTTGCTGTGAGGGTGATAATAACCCATACAGTTTCTCAGGTGAGTTGACCATGTATCAGAAAAGAAATCCCTCATTGTGATAGCAGAAATAATGGAAGTAAGTGAAAATACGTTTCTATATTCCATGGTCTTGAACAAACTCCATAAACTGATGTCTTCACTGAAGTTCTTGAGCAGAACAGAAAGTTCAGGACTGGGATGAACTTACACTAGCAACCAACAACAGAAGCAAGAGAGGTTACTGGAGATGGTATGTAGCTTGCTTGGTTTTGGTAAGAGGACTGGGGCTTTGCCTGGAGCTGCCTCTTGCTGGCTTTGCTTGCTTCTGTTCCACTACTGCAATCTCGGAGTTGGCGCAAGCCTACGCCTTCTGGATAAAATAAAACAGGGGTAGAGAGCTGTTCTTTCTTTTTTCCTGTCTGCACATACTTTCTCTTTATTCACCATTACTCTGCCAAGTCAGTTTCTTTTTTACACCAGCTATCTAGGCAAATGAAAAGCCAATCTGAGTATGTTAATCATTTTAACATATGAAGATGGATTAAAGATTTCAGAGTTGAAAAACATGGACACTATAATTTTTCCTAGAAAAGAATTTCCTTTGGAAAAAAAAAAGACAAAAAAACTAATTGTTACCAGACCCCTGCTAACAGCTTCCAGGAAAATTAAACAAAACATAAATCATTTCTAAAAGGAAATCTAGTTTTGTAAATATTTGGAATTGAGAAAATGAAAGTAGCTAGGCAGAAAAATAGGAATTTGTAGACTTAAGTCATTTTGGAGGAAACCTATTTTATAGTAGAAAAACTACTATAAAGCAAGAATTTTTCTTTACATTTCCTTGGAACAATATCATCTTAAACCTCAAAATATTTAATTAAAAACAGTATGTTGTTTCAGTGTTTGAATAGGGATCAGCCAAGAACAAGTGGGTCCTCACATAAATATTTAAATATTTTAAACAAATAATTATCCTTTTTACATAACAGCTTCTTTTCCTGTCAATATTCTTCAACATTATATGGTTATGTGGTTAGTTATGTGGTTAGTTTACTACTTGCATTGTACCACAATCTACTAAACAACTACCCCTAATGTTATTTTTTTAAAGATTTATTTATTTATGCATACAAGAGACTGGGTGTAGGCCAGGGGTGTGGGGTGGGGGGATGGGGATGAGAGGATTCACCAGAGACTGAGTGGGGGGCAGAACAGGCAAACTGACTGAAAAACACTGCTAAGGGGAGCTGTGGTGGAGATAGGAGAGGTCTGCTCCAGGGCAGGGATCTAACTCATGCTGCAGTGGCTAGGGATTGCTGCATAGTGCTGAGACTTAAGCCCTTGAAGCCATCAGGGAGGTCCCTGTTACTTTTAATATTTCACTCTTTTTAATTTAAAAAATTGCGTTGTGATGATCATCCACATGGTTCTTTGACCCAAGCACACATAGTTTCCAGCCCAAACCTCCTTGTTCTGACCAAAAGAAAGTCGTTTAACTTTTTTCTGTTTCAGTTTCTTTATTCGCAAATGGGAATAAAGCAACTATGTATACATAAATAGCTACCTCTCAAAAAACTTCTATGTATGCTGCTCACATTGTAAGGTCATTTGAAAGCTTGTTCATAATGGTTAAATAAGAGCATGGATCTGAAGCAAGGCTACCTGCATACAATCCCAGTTTTGCCATTTATTAGCTCTGCATCCCTGTCAATGTTGCTTAACTTCTCTGTATTTCTTATGTATAAAGTGGAGATAATACTATTTTTTCAATGGCTATAAGAAGGTATAGGTGCATTTTATAATAGTGATTATTTTATTCCATAAACATTACACACAGCAAACTAATATCCATTTCTCTTACTCATCTCAAGATAGACATATAGTTTCAATACTTATCCTTTCATTGAAGTACTTAAAATTTTAGCCCACTATATATGACATATGTAACTTTATTGTACAAATCTTGTAACTATCAGAACTCCATATCAACTAGTATCCTTATAAAGAATAAGCAGGCAAAATTCAGAGTTTTGCTACTGTGAAACTTCTCTGGTGATTTATTGTGTTACAGCTTCCCACAAATTCATTGACTCCTACCAGTGGACTGAAAACTGAGGGGTTAGTAGGAAATAATGTATGGGGGTGGGGAAAAAGATGGAGTAATAAGTGCCAGACTAGTCCTTCTGCCATCAACAACTAGGAAACTGGACAAAAACATTAAACTTTTCAAATAGTAGATAATAGGTAGTGCAGTACTGAGATTACCCAGAAGACAGGAAAGAAATGAGACAAGTCCTTATTACCCCAACTTTCTGTCTGGAGGTATTTTAGGGACTGCTACACAGTGTGGAGAACCCAAGCAGTGGTTAGCAGTCTAATCAAGCTAAAGAGATTGAGATGGTTGGTTAGGGACTCTGAGGAAGCTGGAATTTGCAAGGCAAAGTACCAGAATGCACACAGAAAGGGTTCGAGAAATCTACCTTGGGGTCCACTTGACTGTTCAGTTGAATATTAACTTGAATGGGATTAGGCGAGACTCTAACAGTTCTCTTGTTAGGTGAGATTCTAACAAGTTTTAGCTAAAGAATAACTACTGTGGAGCTAAAAACTGGACATCTCTTTGTGTTTGCATGAGACTAGGAAATATTCATGTTCAAACCAATCAAGTTGCTGCACAGAATATATGGGACATTCAGTAGGAAGACTTCAGAAAAATTACTCCTTAAAAGGATAAACTGGCATGAGAATAGAGGTAACACTAGATAGGCATTGTCTGAAACAGTAGCTGCTAACCACATGGTATTATTTAAATTAAAATTAAAATTTAAAAATTCAGTTCCTTAATTAGACTAGGTATACTTACTTACCTTTTTAATGAAATACCATCATTTTACACCCTTGTTAGTTTTTCACAATATAGGCTTTCTCCCCTCAGGTTTGGTGACCATGGTGACCATAGTTCCCCACCAGCATAGTACCCATAATTTCCCACCATAGTCAGCTGTGTTCTTCCCTACTCTACCTACTCCCTTCCTCATCTCCTTATAGGATCCTTGGTTTGATTGCTTTACATTCCACATATAAGTGAGCCCACATGGAATGAAGTATGGACGTTTCTCAAAAGACTAAAAATGGATCTATCATATGATCCAGGAATTCCATACTAGGTATTTGTGCAAGTATACAAGAATACTAATTTGAAAGGAAACCTCCACTCCCATAGCAGCACTAACAACCTAACTGTCCAGGAATAGACATAATTTTAAGTGTTTAGTAGTCATATGTGACACATATTGCAAAGCACAGATGTAAAACATTTCATCCTTTTAGAAACTCCTGTTGGACTCTACTGTTCTAGATCCACCCTAGCAAAACTTAAGAAATAAGTCTCAGAAAGTGTGGGCTAATCCACACAAAAGTAAATGTACTCTAAAACAAAATTTGATATTTTTTAAAGGAAATCAACAAAACTCATATTAAACAATATTTCAATATTCATACATGTACCAGAAAGTGAAGAACACTGATCTAAAACCAGTGAAGAGAATTTACTACTATGAATAATTCAAAGACTTAAAAGAAAAATGAACACAAGAGAAAATAAAAGCTAATAAAAAGAACCAAGTTGAACTTCTAGAGGTGAAAAATATAATGAATGAAAAATGTAATAGATATGCTTAGCAGCACATTAGATGCTGCAAAAAACAAACAAACAAACAAAACAACCCAGTAAATTTGAAAGCAAGCAATGAAACTATCCACTGAAGTAAGAAAGAAAAGGAAAAAGTTTAAAGATGAACCAGAGTCTCAGTGAATTGGGACATATCAAGCAGTCTAACACACATGTAACCAGAATCAGATGAAGTGAAGAGAGGAATAAATTGTTGAATAAACATATCCCAAATGTATAAACAAATCCTTCTAAAACACTCATAAAACTCCAGGCAAGATAAATAGAAAA